GCAAGCATTTAAGAGTGAAACCAGCCGTAGTTCACTGTGTTAAAATTAGCAGATTTGAAAAGTACTGAGAAGGGGTATTATAAATCTCTTATAAGAAGGACAAAGAAAAGGATGAGCCCATTAAAGAAAAAATAAAGCAAAGATTAGATTACACAGATAGATGAAAGTCGGTAGAGTTCACCTTGTTGGTTTGTTTTTTGTTTTTTAGAGGCAGGGGTAAATTTTTAAGCAGCTGAAGTAGTCTGAGTTTTTGGCTATTACTTTGAGCATGTTTCCAAATGATAGTAGAAGAATAAGCATAGTATCTGTCATGTAAAAAGGTGACTTCTTCTGGAAACCACTGTTGGACTGAAAGGTCTCCGATGCTAGAAGATACAAATAAAGAATTAACTTACAAGTGCCAAGGTAAAAAGCAGCCGAAATGGATTTCCTGAGAACAAATCACACTGAACTAACATGATTTCCTCCTTTGACTGTGTGGTAACTATTACTTCAGAGAAGAGTGGTAAATGTGCTTTCTTCTGATGATACAAATATTTTTGACTTGGCTTAGTGTGACATTTTAATAAGCAAACAAGGAAAATGTAATTTAAATCGGTGGATTCTAAATTTTTTGTCCTATTAACTGCAGAGGCCACTTCTCAAGTAATCACACATGCAGTTTGATCATAGTATAGTTACTTTGTTTCAAGTAGGTGTGTGATTGAGAATGGCATTTTGTTCTGTCAAGCTGGGAGAATGTATAAAAGGGTAGTCTGTACTGGTTTTCGTGCTTTCTAAAAGCAGCTTGAATGACTTGAATACAAGCATTTTTACAAAATGCGCAGGTAACAGTAAATGGAAAAGCTTCAACTGAAGAAGCATTTAAATCAACAAAATGCAATTCAGTAAAGGCAGGTACAAAGTATATAATTGGGGAGTAGGGGAGAAGAGAACATTCAAATATAAATGTTGAGTGCCTGGCTAACAACTAGTCATGCAGGAGGGGCTCTAGGTTGCAAATTCAGACTGAATATGAGTCAACAGAATTGTTCTATTACAAAGCAAAAGCAAATCTCTGAGATTTATTTTTAAATGTTGTGATAAGACGTTATTCTCGACTGTGCAGTGCTGTGTGTGCTTTTGAGTATCATGTTTCTATATCTAAATGCTTTAAGGAGTCAGCTGAAGAGCAGCAAAAATGAAATGCTTAGTAAACAAGACGTGTGTGGGGAAGTTGAAGGAATTAGATTTATTTAGCGAAGATTAGGGGAGGAGAGCAGTATTAAGTTGAAATAAGTAATTTTTTTTCTATAAGAGAGTATAAGAGAAGTAATTTGACCTAAATCATTTCATTCATCTAGATCTCTTTCTGTGAAGAAAATCCTTCTAATTATAAAAGCAGCAGAACAGGCAACAAGCAGAGATAGTGTGCTGTGGAAAACGTTACGGCTTTTAAGTGAAGGGATATTTTAAGAGTACTTGATCTGGCCTCGTGTTAGGAAGAAGGAGCGATGACTTCCATGAGGTCTTTTCTATGTTTATAACATTCTAGAAATGAGAGAGTTAAGATTGTCTGAAAATTCTTAATCCATTATACTTTATCCTGCTATATATGTCCCTGTTAATAGCCGTAGATTTTTGTGCCAGAAAAGCAGTTTTCTACGTTCATTCCTATGAAATATAAGAAAGTATGTTCTTTTCCTGAAACTGTCCCATTTTAAATGCTTAACTTCAGAAACTTATAGTTGCAGTGGGCCTGGTATTTCGGTCATATTTCTTTTTCTTTTTTAAATATATATCTGAACAATGAATTATCTTCAAGTGACTCTACCACTGTGCATTTCTGATTGTGTGTGTGGTGTTGTAGTAGTCTTTAGATTTAGCATTTCTCTGAAAATTAATGCTTTTGTAACTTTTATGGTCAGCTAGTACAAACATTTTTAACACTGAAGTGGAATTCATTTTAAGTTGTTGCATTTAAACTTTGCATGTTTTCTGAATTACTAGGAATTGAAATTTCCTGATTGAGCTATGTGAATCTGGTCTTTGAGGTCTATGCTTAAGCAATTTTTTTTTTCCCAAACTCTTAATAATCCAGTGTAATGTATTAATGAGACACAAAGCAGCAAACTATGAGTTGTCGTGAGGGTGAGGAAAAAAACAGACCTTCATATTATCTGGAGATTATCTTCAGGATTTTTCTGAATATCTTTAGCTGTGTACTGCCTGTATTGGCAAGAATGTAGCCATCAGGTTAAAGAAAGTGATCTTTCCCCTCTATTTGGTCCTTGTGAGATGACATCCGCATCTACCATGTTTTGGGATCCTCAGTACAAGAAGGACATGGATGTGCTGGAGTGAGTCCAACAGAGAGCTACCAAGGTTAGGGGCTGGGCTATATCATATGCAAGGAGAGGCTGGGAGAACTGCGTTTGTTCAGCCTTAAGAAGGAAAGGCAAAGGGAAGATCTTGCCACTGTTCATAAAAATCTCACGGGAAGGTGTAGAGAAAACAGATCTTGACTCTTCTCAGGTACACAGTAGAAAGACAAGAGACAACAGATGCAATTTGAAGCATGAGAAATTCTAGTATACAAAGAAAACATTTTTGTACTGTGAAGGTGGTCAGACATAGGAACAGGTTGCCCAGAGAGGCTGTAGAATCTCCATTTGTGGAGATATTTGAAACTCGCGTGAACGAAGCCTTGCTCTAGTAGGAGGCTGGACTGGATAGATGACTTCCGGAGGTCCCTTCCAATCTATGTGATTCTGAAAGTAAATCAGTTGGGTTTATTGGTTAGGGAATTAAATAGGGTTTATTACTTTAAACTTAATAAAACTTTATATGAAGTTGGACCTTTGCTGATGTTCCCTTTTAGCTGAAAGCTTTATCCAAACGTCTTGATTTTTGCAATTGAAATATTAAGTTTTCTGTCTTCCCCATATAGTGATCTCTTCAAACTAAGAATTTTCTCTCTTAGATGAGACATTTTGGCTATGAAATAACACTATGTTCTATTAAAATATAGTTGCAAAGGCTAGAAGCATATCAATTTCTTTTGCTTTTTTTTTAATGAAAATACTTATCTTTAGTGTTTGTGATACTTCAGAATATTCTAAGCATATAGATCTGATTCCTGGGTGCAAGATATCTTTGTGCAATAATGCAGAACAGTTTCAGTAGAATTTTACTCAAGAATTTTACTCAAGAAGGATAGAACTCTTACATACTCTAATGATTAAAAGAAATTATAATTGTTAGCATTTTCAACGGGAGCTGCATAAACTTTTGTTGATAGTTTGGACTAGCTAACTTGGAAAAAATAATTTATTTTGTCTTTAAAAATATGATTTGGTTTACTGTGACACCGTTTACACTTCTAGTCAAAAGTTAATGCTGCTATTTCTCTGGGATGCATTTTTTCCTGAATTTTTTCTTGGATCTTAATGTATTCTTGTATTGTAGCTGATTAGAAGTGATGTGTTGTCTGTGCCTGTTATTTACATTTAATGGGCAGGAGCTTGTGAAGGTGACAACAGATATTTAAGTTGAGAAGAACAGGGCATTTCAGTGGCTACTCTAGTGATCATGTACACATTTTCTTTTTTTCTTGATTTACTACTGTTCTACAAAGAGCCATAAATATTACATGTGAAAACTGAAAAGCTGTGAAGCAGTTTGAGAGAGAGTTTTTGAACTGGTGAAATAAATGAAAAAATATAAAGACAAAGAAGTCCGTAGTTTGTCCACGTGTGAAGTGAATTGTTTTCTGATCTTACATACATTTATTCCTTCATTGTTTTTACCTAACATTTGGAAATGTGTTCTCTCCTAGTGGAAGAATTTGCATTGCTCTTATGATAAAAGGTTCTCAACTGAATTTTTTTTATATATATATTTCTCTAAATGGCGATCTACATAACAAGGCACATAGATTGAATTTACAGGTTGACTATCATTGATTTTTATATGATGATGATCATATCAGAAGAAGAAGAATCAGAAAGTGAATTGACTTTAAAACATCTTTTCCACCCAAATTAAGAATTTGTAAAATGATTCTGGAATGTCATTCTATTGTAACTTAATTCATGATTGGATGTGAAATACAGTTAATGTTTTCTGTCTGAGATTTTCTTAAGCTGTATGTAAAAAGCAAATAGTGAACACTAGCTCACTGTGTGAGCAAATTACATAGCTTTCTTATGAAAATGTTAGCATTATTTTTCCATTTGTTTTTCTGTACACCAGTTATAACAGCCTTTAATTAAAATTATTTCATGGCATAATGTTTCACTTCAAAATGAAATTTTTTAACTACTTACAAATAAGTTATTTAGACTTTCAGAGTGCGTATCTGGATTCCCAGGCTGAAGCTTTCAAAGCAGAAGCCCAAAGCAAGTTTTCAGGGCTGTTTGATAAAGACAAATCTCTTTTGAAAGATAAATTGTGAATGTATACGAGTAGTTAAGTAGGTGTGTGTCTGAATTTATTGTGGTCTTATTTAAAAGGTATTAACGACATGCAAGATCACTTCTGTGTTGACAAGTGCATCCCTTCCACACACGCACACCCCCCCCCCACACACACCTCCCCACACCTCCTGCAGTGTTTTTTTTAACCACAGCGAGGAGTTGTTGTGGTTATTGATTTATCTCTGTCAAAACAGGTAAGAATTACCTGAGATTCTGGTACAACGTTTTTCTAAATATTATAACTCTATAGATCTTAAGATACAGTAACTATAAACTGTATCCTCTAGATTGTGTCCTGCACATGATCTTTTAGTTTTTGTTTTCTGTCCTCTGGGACTATTTAGAATAAAGAAAAGGCTTGCATAGACATCAGGCTTAAATATCTGTTAAACTATGGGGAAGAGAAAGAGTTGTGCTGTTAAGTTCTCGGAAAATTCTAAATCTGATGCATTGCAAATAAGTGGAATTGCATATTATAAAAACTATAATGAAAAAGAACCTGAGTTAATGCCTGCGAATATTTCCCTTCAGATTAATTTCTAGGAGAGGAGTCTTTCCTCTTTCTCGTCTTTCAGTTTTGCGTTCTATTTAAGTTTTCAAATAAAACTTGTTTTACCTTTCAGTAACTGATAAAGAGTACTTTAGCACACAATGTGTTTATTGTTAAATTTACTTTATATAATATTTCAAGTACTCTATGCCGTTTCTTTCTAGAAAAGATTACAAAAAGAACTATTGGCATTGCAAAATGATCCACCTCCAGGAATGACTCTAAATGAAAAGAGTGTGCAAAACTCAATCACACAGTAAGTATATAAATGCTCTTTTATTTTTGTCATCAAGCTTAGAGGTACAAGTGTATGTGATGCAAAAATATAGGTATATAATGAAAAGTCCCCTGCATGTCACGTCCACTGCTTATTCTGATTTTTTTTTTCTCCTTTTAAATTTAGGAGCTGAAGCCCTATTTTGATTAATGAAACTATTAGTTTAATGTACTGGCCGCTCTCTGAAACTGATTAGCCCATGCATTAAATCTGTATTGGGCATTTTACTGTCTAATGAAATGTCAGTGGTTAAAATCTTCTACACATTTTAGAGTAAAATGATGGGAGAACATCACCTCTTATAGCCACTAACCTGTGAAACCCCTCTAAGTTTATGGAAATCATGCACTAACTGGTTTAGATGCTCTCTATTACTTGTGTTCACTATATTCAGTAGTTGTTGACTTCCAGGGTCGTCTTTCTCAAAAGTAAGTGGAGAAAACTTCTTAAAGAGCAAAGTTATCAAAGTAAATTTTTTTTGCATTTTCATCCCTGCTGTACTTTTATCTGGGATAAATATAACTGAAAGAAAGACATGGTTAAATATTCCATATATTTGATTGAAATGGACAGTTGTCGTTTCTGATTTTAATTTAAACTTTTTTAACCGACTGAAGTTCAGAATATTTTCCTAGGCTATGTTAGCATTTTAGATGATTTTGTAGCTATTTTTACTAGCAGCTTAATTTTGGAGGAATATTAGAAAACCCCTAGCAGGGAAAAACATTTGTATCTGTAGGAATCTCAGATTGCATGTTCTGGACTTCTGTGTTATTCATTGATTGTTTTATTTTTGTCATCAAGCTTAAAAGTGTAAGTAATGAAACCCCCCTTGCAAGCTCTTTGAAAACCATAATGTAGAGCTGACTTCTGATAGTACTTCACATCTGCATTTTTGATGGTGGCACTCAGTGAACATGTTAGGTAAGGCCTTTGAGCCCTGAGTGTTTATACATACTGAGTTAAATACTGTTGTTGCTTTTCAGATTTTGCTGTTTTGTGGGATACTTGATGCAGACAAATATGACTCAACCAAATTGAAATAGCGCTTTCCAGAATTGAGTACAGTTAATAATAAACTGCTGCACAATTGCCAAATTACAAATTGTAATTTGAATTTTCTGTGGCCACTAGAGAAGCAAAATTCTGAATTTTCTGAGTAAGAGGACTCAATCTAGTATTGCAAATACTTTTCACTCCCATTAAAACAAGAAAATTATTAAGTGAAAGTGTACAGACAATGAAGAGATGGAAAAAGGGGGGGGAAAATCTATTTTTTATCTATTCTTGGGTTTCCATTTTTCTTAGGATATCTCTAAGTCACCAGAGTACTACTTTATTGGTTTTTATATAATGTGTTGTTTTTCTATCTCTCAGTAGCCTGCAAATAAAATAACCTCCTGCTTACTGTCATACTAATTTTTCAAATCCTCAGTTTTTAGAAGGTTTATTTTTACTAGTAACATTAGTTTTTGCCCTTTGAAGGTTATTGACACCAAGTAACATATGTTCTGAGAGCATTAATCAAGATACGGTTTGAGCTGATGCAGTATAGATTTGTGTGAAAGTATCAGCTTGGATTCGAAGAGTTGAATAAAATAATTAGAGCCTTTGGAGTAACTGGATCATTTAACACAAGGCAGTCATCTTTTAAATAGCCTTTTCTTAAACTTCTACTCATTGTGTAAACTTAAAACATACAGGAAAGACTGATTCTAGTGATTGACTGTAAAAGGAGGAAAGTCCAGATAGAGCTATCCCCTTCTACTTTGTAAACGAAATTATTTTAAAAATGTGAAGGTGGGACGTTCTGGATCACAAGGAGAAATAAAGCTGGAGGAGTGCTGGTGCAGCATGGCCATAAATGCTAAAGCAGAAGGCATAACAAGATAAATAGTCTTGAGCCCAGCTAGATTAAATCAAAGGAGTCTTCACAAAATTGGAAGACTAGCACAGCATTACTCTGTTACTGTTGAAGATGCATTCCTCCTGAAGAGTGTGACAGCTAGTGGTTTAATAGAGAAGGATTTTTTTTCTCATAAAAATTAATGTAATAGAGGGGAAGATCTGTGCAGGGACTTGAAAAATGAACAGCTTAAATACATGGTGATAGTGTATATGACGGGCAGGATGGAGAAATGAGGAATAGGTTCATCAGGATTACCAGCTGAAGGAGATGCTATTTTTTTTCTGAATACATTGTTGGTCTGAAAATCTCAGCTGCTTCACCTGTGAGACTGACAGAGGTACTTTTAATCTGGGCAGTTTTGCTGCCTCTAGCTGAATGTTAACATTATCATCATATTCCTCAAATGTATAAGGCTCAATCAAGGATGAAGGACAGATAAATGGGGGGGGTGATGGTCATTAGCAGAAGGTGGTATTCAATGATCAACAACAGAACTCCAAAAAGAGAATTTAGTTAGCAGCATGCTGCTGTATGTTTGGAACACTATTCAAAGCAACTCTTTTTGACTGGATTTAAAAAAAAAAAAAAAAACACACACTATCAGTCACTTCCATATTATGATGGAAGGAGCAAAAGCAGATGAAAAAGAGTCCTGTGGTATGTTGAGTGTTATCTTAATTACTTGTTGAGTTATATAAAGGACAAAGCAAACAATTTACTGAGCTGGTCAATTACAAGTCATTACCTTTCTTTTTTGCTGTGACCTTTTCCTTTTTATGCTGTTAACTTTCCTAGTTTTGGTGTGGACATGCTAGGTTGTATAGCATTTCATCTTTGACATTTTCATAGCATAAGAGGGAGAGAGAAATATTCCCCCTGCACCCTTTGGATGTTGCCATTTATTTTAGTAAGCTATATTCATGATTTTCTTACAGAAAAAACAAAATGGAAAGAGAATGTATACTACTTTGTTTTCTTCCTAGGCTGTGTATAGTTTTCAGCGCTGTAGCAATGACTATACGTAAAGTACCAAGATGATTTCTTCCAAATGTGCAAGCTTGATATTTTACTTGCTTTCGTGATAGTTAAGATACTAATGGAGTTTAGTGGATTTAGTTGTAGCTGGCAATTGATTCGATTAGTCCTGTGTTCCAGGAGTAAAATTATAATTTAATTGTCTACAGCACTAACAGTGTTATTCCCCTGTTCTTTAGGTGGATTGTAGACATGGAAGGTGCTCCAGGAACACTATATGAAGGGGAGAAATTTCAGCTTCTATTTAAGTTCAGTAGTCGGTATCCTTTTGATTCGCCTCAGGTAACCGCTTGCTTTCTTCCTTCCTGCTTAGTTCTACTTTTAGGTTATAGCTGCATGGCACATGCTGACTATTAACACTATCTGCACATACCCTAATGTAAAGCTTAGTTGCTTTGATTTATATTAAACACATTGTGCATATGCCATTTCTTTTAAAAATGACTCTGCAGTGAAATACAGTGCCCACTGCAATCTACTTGATTTCACAGGAGATGAAAGAGCAAAGTAAACTTGAGTAGGTTTTGTGTGTGTGTGTTTGAGAGTGTGTTTGTTTTTTTTTTTTTTGTCATATTAAAGAGCAACACAGAGAAGAGTAAGAAGGTTCTCCTTTCCTGGGATATAGGAGCAGAGTAAACAAGAAATTACTTCTTTCTCCCCTATCCTTTTTACTTCCTTTTTTTTAAAGCCTCTCTTTCATCTTACCTGCTGTGATTGTTACTACAACTGGGGAAATACTGTGACTCTGGTAGGGACTCTCAAAGATGTTTGGCATCTTATGAGAGGCCTACAAATACAGTGATTAGAATTAAGGTGTAAGCTGCTGTTTTGCTTTAACAGCAACATCAAAAGAGCTGAAGAGGCAGCATTACTATTGGACTGCAGAATGAGCTCTGCGCATCCCTCCATTACCTGAGGGGAAGGTTCCAAAACATGGCTTGTAAGGGGGAGGTAGGTGTTCAGCTATCACCAACCTACCCTCCTGAAAAAGGAAAAAGAAAAGCAAGGATTCCTCAGTCTGTCCTTTCTGTTTTTGACCTTTCAGCTCAAAGTTCCAAGAGGGAGAGTTAGTCATCTCTGTGATGCTTTGCTTGTTGTTGAAAGCTATGCGAAGAGCTGTAAGAGACACATCAGCATAAACATACGGTGTCTTTAGGTACCGTGGTAAAAAACAGAATGCTGACTTTTCAGTTTTTAAGGAACAAACTAGCACCTGCACATCTGCATCCATCAGGTTTGCAGGGAATTACTCATAGGTAGGTGATCCACAAGAAAGTAGCCGCTATCATTTGGTTCCAAGTAAGTACTGTTTGTACTCATTATGCAATGTGTGTGTGTGGCTGTGTGCAACTTATTGTAAAACAGCAAGCCAGATCAGTACATATACACTAATTTTAGCACAGAAAACAATTAGGTATTTAAATACTGGATACTGAATTGTTGTAGATAACTAGAATTTCCATTTTGAAAGCAGTGCTGTGGAGTAAGTTCATTCCGTATTGCAACTCCTGGATTATAATTCTCTCCTCCAAATCTACTTACTGTGAATTGAGAGTTTAAACTTCTGCTGCTTAACCACTTGATTGTTTTCTGCCTTAAATGTATGTTGTCTATCATGGTGTGCATGCTTTTGCTTACTTAGTATGCTTAGTTCTTGCTTCCTGGTAAAGAGGAGGCAATAGTTTGAATGGAAATACATTACTGGATTATGAAGGTAACATGTTCCAGTGCTTAAGAAATATCAGTAAAAGGCCTATGAAGTTCAAGGTAAGATGATGGATGATTGTTCTGCATCCAGTTCTTCCTCTGCTATAGAAGACTGTATGTGCATTTAGCAAATAAGTTAAGCTCTTTCCTCTCAGTTCCCCAAATGATTATGGTGATGCTTCCCTCTTGTAGTCAGTGGTGATATATGCGTTGTCTGTGTGTGTGTTTGTGTATGTGTGTGTGTCTATATATATATATATATATATATACACATATACACAGAAAAGAGACTGCTGGATGCTAATGAATGGTAGGGATTTATTATGTCATTGCATAAAAGAAGGCAGTGGATATGTCAGATAAGGAGCTCAGGAGGATAATGTCTGCCGTGAGGTTCTCTTTCACTTCATTTCCACTGGTCATGAGTCAACCGTGTGTTTGACAAAAACTTGTTGTAAGAGCAATAATTGTCAGAATCACTTTTCTAACCTTGTTTTGACTGTGGTATTGTCTTTTTAATAGAGAGGAATTAGTTCTAAACACTGTTCTTTTGGTATTATTTCACGACAAATAACATCGTATTTCAAATGGAATATGATCTAAAAATTTTTCCTATATGATATGATACTGTGGCTGTTAAAGAACATTTTATAGTTAATAGGGTTAGTGCATTTAACTCTTCATGCTGGAACCTGCATGGGTTGCCCAGAACTTCAATTTCTGTTGTGTCTGTGGCTATAGAAATACTCATTTGTCAATTTCATTGTATTCCTTGGTGTATGAAATCATTCAGTCCTGTGGCTTATGAAATCATTCAAATTCAGTGTCTCGGGTAGGCAACTCTATTCCATAGGACACAAAATAGGACTGAGGCTGCAAGATTTGAAAAGCTTAGTTTGATGTCTTTACACGGTTGTAACTGTGAATTTACCTTTGCACTTTTCTATTGTGTGCTGCTATTCATAAGAACTACGTTTACCCACAGATCGCACTTCATCAACAGCAGTTATTTAGGCTTATGTTCTTTTATTTTATATTTGAATTATTTGCTTGCAAAAATGAATGAATCTGACATGGTGAAAAGTGTTATACGTAAGTGAAAATGGCAGAATCTACTTAGAAGTTACTGTTTACCCGAAAGCAATACAGTCATATTTAACAGATTGTTCACAGTCTTATTTACAGTCTTACGTATGTTCACGGTAAATTACAATTATATTTATTTAATTCTTTTTTTAGGTCATGTTTACTGGTGACAATATTCCTGTTCATCCTCATGTTTATAGCAATGGCCATATCTGTTTATCCATTCTAACAGAAGACTGGTCTCCAGCTCTCTCAGTGCAATCCGTTTGTCTTAGCATTATTAGCATGCTTTCCAGCTGCAAAGAAAAGGTATGAGTATTTTTGTTGTTTTTGTTTAGAAGTGTTCAAGTAAGAATAAAAGTTAACTAGCTAACTTTGCAAAGTAAGGTTTCGTGTCTCAAATTCTAAAATAGGCAACCTACATTTCAACCACTGAAAAAAATACTAAGTTAGAACTACGAAATGAACAGTGCAGTAATTACTTCATAACTTTTCATGGTAATGTGCTCATATATCATTACTAGAAAAGAGGCATGAATAGAATCACTCTAATTGTACTAATTACAAAGTTAAATTGTGTCTTAGGACAGTTCTTTGTAAACTGATTCCGACCGCAAAGGCAGCGCGAGATGTTTGTTATGAAATGTGTATTTTGCATAGTGTAGATATTTGTCTATATTAGAGTACTGGAATTAGTACAGCTGCAAAACCTTTAGCAGTTAATTATTTAATTCATCTTTATCACTTTTTCTGCAGGAAAGTAAATAGTGCTAAGATGCTTTTTTGGTCATAAATTTGTGGCCCTGATACCTTAAATGGCCTTTTTTTTGTAAAGATTATATCGTTTTACTGCTTCTTTTGGAGTGAAATTACACTGGAAGTTAGATTTGTTCAGAGCTCTTGTACATCTGTGCTATCCAAACATGCCTATTTATGTCACGTGCCAGTCAATCTTAATCATGTGTATGTGATAGAAAAAAGCCTCAAATTGCTTTATTCTGTATCCTGTGACTTCAGTTTTGCACCATGATGACACTGTACCTTAAAATTGTTATGAAAAAAACGAAGAATATTTCATGTAGTAGATGTTTATCTGTAAGTGCGTTGAAACAAAGTTCATTTTTTTTCAGCTACCCCAAGCTATGGGAGACTTATGAATGTCAATTAGATTCTAGTTGTATTATATTAGATCTGAATCTAATATAGATTGCAGAGGTATTTCATTTGGTTATTTCAAATAAGTGTTGTTCCTTTTTTTGTTTGTTTGTTTTTTTCCATCCCTGCCAAACCCCTGTTTGGAATTTTTGTGGAATTTGTGCTTGAAGTATCTCTACTAAGAATTTTGCTACTAGGATTCTTTAGAGATTTTCCTTGACCAAGGCCTAGCACCGTCTCTTATCTCACTTTCACTGCATTCATGTGACAGCTTGCCATGAGCTTATTCAAATAGTTCCCATATTACAATGTGAGGACTGTTTGATTATTTGTAGGTGTTTTTTCTGTTGCAGAGGCGACCTCCAGATAATTCATTTTATGTAAGAACGTGTAACAAGAATCCAAAGAAAACAAAATGGTGGTATCATGGTAAGTATTTAACTAGAACCAGGAATTTTTGAGGTTTTTTTCTTTTTAAGCTGAAGACGATTAAAATGTAATAAAGTAGGTTAAGTGTTTTCAAAACCTTTAAACTCTTTTTATTTCGAAATCTTATTAAAATTCTGTTTCTGAGATATGCTATGGTGATTTTTTTTTTTTAACATCACACTTTAACTGCTTAGTGAAAATTAAACAGCACAGGGTTATGCAAGTTTTAAACTATAGGACTGGATTTGCATAAAACTTCTTGTGAACTGTAACAGTTCATGACAAGTCTTGGGTTTGGGGAGGGTACTTGATGAAACCAGATTTCTATAACCGGTGTATTATAACTCTAAAACCAGAGTTGGTAACAACCAGTTGTTGTTGGTAATGCTTTAAAAGCTTGCATTGCAATTAAAATATCCGTGTATATTTATAAATAGCTGTGTTGTCAGTAGATTTCAGCTGTTTCACAGGATTTCTAATGTGGGACAATTGGTTGACTTAAGGGTATTAGGAACTAGTGTCTGTAACACAGCAATGTGATTCTACATGTGCATTGTAAAAAATTATACTAAAATTGCCAAGTATAGTACTACAGTCTCTGCAGTGTAGTGCTTTTACTTTTCCTTGCCACGTGCTTCCTGTCCAGCTTTATACTGTGTGTGTCGGTTTTCTTGGGTTTTTTTGTTTGTTTGTTTGTTTTCCTTCTGCCTTAACATTTGTTGTCCTCTTCCTAGAGCTGGGGTTGGCTGTATGTGCTTGGCTTATGCAGTCCAATAGTGAGGAAGGAAAGAAGGAGGGAGTAGAGAGGGGCTATGCTTTCCTTCTTTCTTCTCTCCTTGGCCAATACTTTCTTTGCTCTCCCTAGGAAAATGCTGTACAAATGGTGGTTATAGGAAACCCATGCATCTCTCAGGAAGGGATGTGTTGGAGCAGGAAATACTGTGTGCGAGGATGGTGCAGGAAGAGCAGGTCCCATAAATACCTTTTACTGAAGCCTCCATCATAAGGCATCCTATTTATTTATTTTTTTTTTTCCCCCTGCCTCCCCACCCCAGGACTGATTCTCTCTCCCATGTGAAATGAAACTAACTATTTAAGATTGAGGGAGTCAATGAATGGAGAGGGAAAGACCAAAGCCTTCACCCTTACATTCTTAAAAACCTTTGGTACTTTATCTTAAAAGTTTGATAGTTTCATAATACTGACACCTGTGGGGATTTTTGGATGGGTGGTAATGCAAAAGAATGAACTGTTTCTCCTAGTGTAGTATTGTAATAGTCTTTCAAAAACAAGTTGACTTGAATCACAGCAAGAGTGTGCTGTATGTCATGGGATTAGGAAGTATTTAAGATACTTAAGACCGTTGATCATGAGATACATAATGTTGTTTTTAAAATTGACTCTAAAATCCATTGTCCAAAAGACTAGTAGACTGGGTTCTTCAACTTCACTACATTCTTTAGTAATCACTTTCTTTTCTTTCCCTGTCCCCTCACTCTTGTAAAGTATGTGGTGCTTCCTCATTTCTCCTCTTGCTTTCTCTTTATTGGCAGTTTCTGGATAACTGGTTGATTGACTATTTTTGTTTTATTTTCACTTGCTAGTTATTTTCAAAGAGAATCAGCTAAAGTTTCATTTATTGGCTTTATTTTGCGATTAAAAGATGTTCTGTTTACTTCGAATCTATAGAAAGTCTCCTTTTGATTCAGGATTGAAGTCTTTCAAGGAGAACAGTCTGCAGTCACTACTTTGATTTCTAATTTATGGAATTCAGTTAGAGTTAAACAAGTAAAACACTAAATGAATATAAAAAGACGTGGTTTTATGCTGAAAGTTGCTATACTATTGTGGCTGGAAAAAATCAAACTTACAGTCCATTAAATTATTTCAAAGTAATTGTACAATGGCTGTTTTATGAAAGTCAGAAATTTTAATAACCCAAAAGCCAACCTAACATACTCACAAGAGAAAACAAGTCAGTTCATTTAAATAACTTACTGTTTTGCTCCATAATACTCTCATTTATGTTTTTTAACTTCCTTCTTAGTTACTAATTACAAAAGAGATCATGTTTAAAAGTTGAATGAGCTTCTCTTCCACCTCTCCCCTGTTAAATTCTTAAAAAATAAAAAAAAAATCTTGATGTTAGTTGGATAAAAATATTTTCATAAAATTTAGAGGTGTTTTTCACAAATTTTGTGTGGCCCTTTTTTCTTTTCTCAGTTACAAGTAATTGACTTCTCTTTTGTGGCTGTATAACAAAGCTGCCAAGGGAGAATCTTTAAATTTTCAGTGGTTTTCCTAATTGGTTTGAGGAAATGCTGGTTTGAACCAAAATGGGAAGTATAGCTTGACTGCTAATTTTAACCCTTCTTTCTGGACAAGAACTATCTTCAACCTTAGGTACACCTAAATGGATTTACAAGCCCTTGAAAAACCTGGTTCTGTCGTCTTAATTTCCTGCTCCTATTTCCATTGGAGTGCCACACATCTAACCTTGTGGTTGAACCACTTTGTGCTAAGTCAGTTAGTAAAGGAAAAACATAACACCAGCTAAGAAGGAGGAAAAAAAAAAAAGTCCAAGGCTAACCACAGGGTAAACTAAATGCTGATACTGGTATAGGAACATGTGGAGGGAGAGGCAGAGTGGTACTGCTGCTTCTGCTGTTAGCTAGCCATTGGACTGCCTTAGCTGTAAAGGGAAATTGCATCCCCATGTTCTGTTAAGAAGGTCTTAGTCTCTCTATTTGGAAGAGAAAGGAGGAAGATGGTCATCGTTTTTATCATACGCCTGTGAAGGATATTTTCTTTTCCAGGAGGTGCCTGGAACTTACTTGACTGGGAGCAAATAATGCGTGATTGGGGACTGATGTTGAAGTAAACCAATACAGACACAGAGGGACACAGTGGCTCTTAGAGATATTCTGATATGTAAACGTGACTCTCTGTGTATTTAGTTTATGAGAGCTTTTAATATCTCACTTTCTCTCTGCCCAGCCTAACAGCTTATTCCCTAAGTAGCAGGATTATGAAGCCTTGTTTGGTACAAACTGCCGTTCTCTCAAGCCCTGTTGCAAAACTCCCGCTTCCTCTAACTCACGCTCCCTTCAACAGCTAGAAATATTTCTAGATTCTCTCCTCTACCCAACATCTGCTTTAATTGTGTGTTGAATTTCATGTTGCCAATCTTAAGAGTCAGTCGTGCCTTGTCAAAGACGCAGGAGGATTTTCAGGAAGGGGGGAGTCGGGGGCATTCAAGCTGAAACTTAGTTCCATAAGGTGGTTGCGTGTTCTTTCTGCTCTCAGGAAATAATTTCTGTGAAAGAGGGGAGCACTGGTGTTTTTTTCACAACTAGCACCTCTCCTTACTGCATTTTTTCTTTTTTTTTTAATGAGAAAGTATTTTCTCTCTTATCTATCCTAAACTTTTGGTATGCAGTTCAAACACCCCTTCTGTCCCTCCTTCATCCTCATCTTTTTGCATTCATTCTTTACCTTCCTATCAAAATGAACTTACTTACATGTAACGGTATAGACGACACAGTGTTTTCCAGTGAGAATGTAAAATTGTTCTCTGCTATTTATATATACTAGAAATCTGTCTGTTGATGAGGCTACATCTTTTGTGTGCAAGGTTACAAATAAGTGCATTAAAAATAATCAGACAGTGAATTTGCTTTTTGTTAACAAGCTTAACTTTTACTGAAGCACACTTTTACATATGTACACTTGTACATATGCAATAAAGTTATTCAGCAAGTTTTGAGGATTCCCCCCCCCCCCCTTGGCAACCTGTTATCAGACGCAATTTCACTGTAGATTGATGTCTGGAAGAGAAACTTTAAAAGGGAGAGCTTTCACAGGTGTAAATATTTCTTTACTGTCAAGCATAAAAATTGACATAGAATACCTTTTCTATAATGCGTTCTGTCCAACAATAATATCTAAAATGTACTGAATGTAAACTATTTTCACATTCAAGATTTTAGAATTACAGTAGCAATATATTACATAATACAATGTCAGCTAAAATTTGTGTTGATTCTGGAGAAGTGTATATAAAAAGGGCTGGAGAATGGACACATGAGGAGAAGCCTACTTTGCACACCCTATCACTGTATATCCCTTACAAAGGGTTTATCAATTTGAACTCTTTAAAATGATGTGCGCATGCTATACTTCATGGGACAAAATGTTAAGCGTACTTGATATTTCATTTTCCTAAATAATGGTTTTCAGAATATCAAATGTGAAAGTCTTATCCTTTTAATGGAATATTTGCTAATACTAATACGTTAGGGATGTGTGTATATATATTTTAAAAGTTTTGTGTTCTCGCGCGCGCGCTCTCTCTCTCTCTCTCTCTCTCTCTCTCTTTTTTATTTCTTCCTCTGAACAAAACCCAAAAATTATTCAGTTGTTATGTTTCCACTGCATGCTAATCTCTATGCTAGGAGTTGTTTAGCACCTTACTAATTTGGGCTTAGAATGTTTATATGTTTTCCATAAATACTTTTTTTTTATTTTAAAGATGACACATGTTGATGCCACCATTTTGTGATCCTCGTAGCAGAAGATAGTCCTACTGAGAAAATGAGCACTTTGATCATTCAGTCTTTGAACTTTAACCTTTGACTGGAAGTGACCTATAGGCAATGAAGACTACTTCCTTTGACTGCATTTTTACTAGTGTGCATTCTGGGCGCATGTTGATCGCTGGTTCAGTCCATGCAACTGACATGCTTTTATTAGTCATACAGTATTAATGCAGGTGTCCAGAAATGTCAGAATAATTCCATTATTTTTATTTTAAGCTTTTGGAAGAATTCCAGGTCTTCATATATTGTGCAATAACACTGAGCTCCTTGGCGGTTTTGGTGCATCCATTGCCGGCAATGGACATTGTACCAGGGAAAAGTTTTGTTCCTGCCACAAAAAGATTGCATGATAGAGCTTAGGAAAGTTTCAGATGTATTTGGATTATAAGCAAGGGATCTACCATTACCTTAAAAGCCACCCCATTCTTTTATATTTGGATTCTATGCACTGTGATCACAAAACTAGCAGCATGAGTTAACATGCTTAGCTGAAGGACTGTAATAAGATCATTGCATATTTATTAAATTGTTTATCTGCTGTCAAATTGTTTTGACATGGAAGGTTTTCAAGTGACAGTGGCAGAGAGGTACAATGTTATCCCTATGGTGAAATAAAACTACTTTTTTGTATATAGTTATTCATATCTCTGAAGCAAAGGTATGAGTAATTTAGGGTATGAGTGATTTAATCAAGAATTTATTTTGGAGATAAGAGAGGATGGCAGTGATATATCTGAACTTGCTGCAGTCCATAATTGGGCTTGTAATTTGTACTTTAGAGCTTTTTTCCAAATAGATTGCACACTGTTATTTCCTGCTAGCCATCAGCATGAGCCCTATTGCCTACACCAATATTTCATTTATTTATGTGTTTGAAAGCAATCCATATAACATTTTTTGTTTGCATTCACTGTTTCTTTTGTTGTTGTATGTCATGTTTGAATGTTACAAAACAATATTTTGATTGAAAAGCTTTGTCAGAAGATATTTTCGTGTAAATTATTTCTTTACCTTGTAAGCATCATCTTGTCTTTTAATCCTGTACTATAAAAAAAAAAAAAAATACATTTTTTGACAGAGGCTTAATGTTTTGACAAAAAAGTGTGGACCTTCTTATTTAAGTTTAGACTAAAGTATATTTTATTAACTTGCTTGTCCCAGGCAGCCATACTGATTTTCTCCAGGCTTTTACTTCACCAAAAAGGAGAAAAAAAAAAAACCCTAAAAAAAAATTGCCATTTTTCTATGGAACAACAGTTATTGAAATAATGGATAGTTGTTCTCGCCATTCTGTAATATTTTGATACTGCAATTAGGTTGTCTTTTTAGGAAGCACTTTTATAAACTTAATATCTTTACACATATGCAAAATTTCTATAACATTGTGGTTTTGGGTTTTTTTTGGTTTTGTTTTACTGTTGCCTTATTGTTGCACTCAACAAAAAAAAAATCAAGTGGTCTAAACATGAATGTCTAAATCAAGTAACTACTTGATTAAAAGAAAAAAAGAGCCAACCCAGAATTAATAATTACAACAAAAAAATTGGCTGAAAATGTTGAAGTTTTTTTACTGCTGTATAATATAACTGACAAATTTTATAGCCTTGTACATACTTCTCAAATAATGTGTAAAACGTATTTTAAAGTATAGATGCTTAACTCAGGGTGGATAGAATTCAAATGGATTTGCTTCAGAGAAGTGTTTTGTACAGCAACTGAATTATGGATATTACCAGTGAAGTGAGGCCTACTTCAGGAACTGCTATCTTTTTTTCTACTGTATTGAAAATATTTCTTGGCCTTTAAAACTCAATGGTAAAATCTAGCTGTGGATATAAATTTGATGTGTATAAATACTTTCACAATGAGCCTTTAAAACACAGAAGTTGGTTTATTTTAAGAGCCAAAAATAATCATTTTAAGCAAAGGAAATAGTTATGGTTCTAACTTTTGTTTAGTAAAATTTTGTTGTTACAAGTTAATCAAATCAACTATTTTTGCAAATGTTTAAAATGAAAGAGCAGTAATCTATCTGAATACATAATCTGTATGTTCATGTTAACTGCTCTGTATTATTGATTGAATGGATTGACACATCTTTGAAAATCTCATGTATTTTCACACAGTTGGTTCGCGTACAGGGTTTTATTAAATAGTCCATAGTAAAGAGAAATTATTGTAACAGAAGGTAATGTCTCTGAAGAAATAGTTACAGTACATCTTCACAGGTTCATGTGTCTTTTCATATGGCAGATTGCCGTACTACAATATGTGGTTTGAGAGAAGCTTTATGGCATACTGTATGTATCCTGTCAAAGATATGTGATGTAGTGGTAAGCATTTATATCTTTTATTGACTTACATCTTTATATCAGCTACGGTGAAGTTAAATAACCAAACTTATGCTGCTCTTTAACACCTCCACCTATAATGTACTTAAATCCAAAAAATGCAAGATAGATTAGAAGAGAATGTACCTCAGGTTTTTTTGTTTACGATAGAAATGCCCCCAGAATAACGTAATGGTTCTTTTGCACTTCTGTGGGTAAGTTCACCTATGTACAGAGGGGCAAGACAAAATCTATATACCACTCAAGCCCTCAAAATAATGCAGCTATTCTGACAATACTATAATATCCCAAAATAGGGTTTAAATTAGATGAAGGTGGTGCCATCCTTCCTTTAGGGTGACCCTGTGTATGAAACTTTCTTCACTTCGAGTTTCTCACATGAAATGATTATAGAATTGGCTTGAAACAATTTTGCTTTTCTTTTGTGTCAATGCTCATGTTGTTAAACGCTTTGTTTTGTGTTTAGTGTCTTTCTACTATAACACAATAAATTCTTGTTTTAAAATAGATTACTACCCTTGAATGAAAACACGTGTGGACCTTTTAATGGTGGAGTGCAGAAGCATTGTCCTTTACGTTCAGCTACTCTGAGACAAAGCTGTCAGTAATTCCAAAATGGTGTGAGGGGTATCAAGGCAGGAATTTGCGTAATACTGAGGTGTTTCCTCTTTTCTTCTCCAGAGAATATCTGTTGTAACAGCTGAAGGAAATAGTTCCATTAATTAAAAAAAAAAAAAACAAAAAACCTAAAATATAGCGTCAGAGAGATCTACGTCAGAGAGAATTATCAAATCGTGCTGTGAGGCTACTTTTCATGTCTCATAGATGCTTGAATCATTCCTTATCATGGTTCTTTGCCCGTTGACAAGCACTTTAGATACTGAATGGGAGTTTCATATGCAGGCTTTTTTGTTTGTTCACAGCAGTAGGAAGAGAGATTTTTTGTGAGCATGTCAGGACTATTAAATGCAATTTCTAGTGTCTCATATCAATATTTGCTGTCAGTTTTGTACATTTTTTTCTTCAGAAATGATGATTTCTGTTTCAGAAAAAGTAAGGCCCTTGATACCTGAAAAAAACTATTTTAGTGAAAAACTACATTTTAAAATTCATATTTTTTTTGATGTTTGATTTTTAGTTATTTATTTGAAAGTCTGGCAAAACATAATTAATATCTAAGATTATAAGTCTGAGAAGATCGTAGAATTCCCATGTCTATACTTTTGAAGAGCAGATTAGACAAATGACTGTCAGGAAAGGAAGATAAAATTGACAATAAGACTTTCCAATCCCATTTTTGCTGGGGGTGTGTGTGTGTGTAAATGTTTTTTAAAATGACTGAAGTTTAAAAACCAGAGCTCAAAAAAAAAAAAAAAAAAGGAACTCATGTTTCTTAAGCCGTGTCCTAATTGTCAGCCTACTGTTTTCAGGACTTCTATGTTTCGACCTAAACAAAATTGGAAGAGTAGAAGTATTGTGAGCCTTTTACTAATTAAAGCTTAATTCAGAAATACAAATCCATAAATATTTAGCCACTGCTATTTAATTTTAATGATAATAGCAATGCTGGAAATCTTGTTCACTTGCCATATTTTTCCTCCAGATTTTAAGTACACTTTTAAAAGCGGTATTTGCTAGTGTTTATGATTATCTAGCAGTTGATTCAATTTCAGAAAGCCCCTCTGTTGCTGCGAAAGGTGAAGGTTTTTTAAGTTACAAAGGAAGAGCAGATTCAGTAATTTTGTAGTTCAAAAATAATTACTGCCACAAAGCGGCTTCCTTAAAAACCTGTGTGGATTTCATTCAGATAATTCTTTTATAAAAATCATAAAAGCAAAACTGATGGATTGTAGAGTGTAAGATACTACCAGTGTAGAGATTACATTTATAAAAGTCTCAATCTACAGTTATTTTTAGCATAGAACTTAGAGGAATTCCATAGCTCTGAAAGTATGTGTTACCTTTAGTAAATTAGACTGTGTTTAAACTCCTTCAGTTTACATACATATTATCCACAAGTGTAACATTGCCCTTGGAAGTCCCATTTTTTCTTTTGGCTACTGCTTGTGAAAGAGCTGCTTATAAAAGACTCCGCTCTTCTGGAACAGGAGCCCAGTGAAGTCCTGGAAACCATCATGTTAGCCTCATTAACAGAGATGCCTATAACAGTATGAAATCCTGTAACACTGACTGCTCTTGCTTCCCTTAGGCTAGTCCTACTTCTGATATTGAAAAGTCTCAGTGATAAGATCTTATAGAAACTCCTTTCTGTCTTCAGCAGCTATTCTGTCCTGTTGGAATACTTTAACCCTGGCCCAGAAAGCACTCCAGATCTGGTTATATGAACATTCTGGGCCTTCTCTCTTCCCAGGGCTACAATATCATCTCGATGGTGTTAATGTCCACAGAAATAAATGGAGCAGAATTCCTGCCATTCAGTGTTTTGTCTTAGTTTGCTGCTACTGAAAAGGAGGAAGTTGGATTCCTCCTCCTCCTTTCTTTGCAGCCTCATGATTCACATTCCTACCTTGCATCAAGTTCTGCTGTCAGAGTCCACACAGAGATGATTCAGCTTGTTAAACCACTAGGAAACTGAATTCAGAAGAAAAAAGTAAAAACTCTTCTGAATTAGCAAATGGAATCAGTTTGCTGTGTGATCCAAGAGTTCCAGAGCTAGAGGAAATTGGAAAGATTGTTTAGCTGGGAATTGGGATGGGCTAGCTGAAACCCACTTCAGATCTTCAGACTTTTCTGTGTGATATAAAGTACTAGAAACCTTGTTTAACACACAAGCTGAGTTATGTGCTATAAGAATCCTAAAAGCCAGGGGTCTGGACTGCCTGTATCAATCTTGGCAGTGGATACCCTTTCCATCTGTTCTAATTTTGTTTTTTCAGTAAAAATTCTTAAGATGTTCCAAAGCCTTCAAGTGATTTAGCATATGTTACCTCTTCACTTAGATGCCTTAGTCTCTGTGCCCAAGACTTATTCTTTTTTTTGTTGTTGTTCTGTTTTGTTTTCCAAATAGCAAAGCTGCTAGTGTTAGTCTGTGTATACAGGTGTTTTGGATGTTGGTGTTTTAAGTTTCTTTAGTCGTCTGCTGACGTAGACGAGTTCCTAGATGCTTGAAAGCTCATGTTTAGGCTTGTGGTTGTCTGTCTCTTGATCCATAATTTGTATCTTTACTTTTGCTTTTATTTCAGGTATGATTTTTAGAAAGGGTGAGTGTCACTGTCATTGTTTTCAGGTGCTGTCAGGGTATCAGAACCAGGTTTGCGACTGAAGCTGTATTTGGGATTCTGTCAAGTAAATTGCAATGTGAAAGGATTAAAAGATAGGTTTCAGCTGTTGCTCTGAGCATGGCAGTTTGGGAGTGCTTGTATGAAGACTGCTGTAATTCCAGCAGAATTTGGCATACAGCTCTGTGGACTAGAGATCATAGCTGGCCAACGCTACAGTCGCGGTTCTGCACCAATGGTGCAAGCAGTGTCCTCTGAAGCTAAGTACGGCACACTTACCAGATGTTTCTTGATGTTCTTGTACTTCATTTTAGAACCAACTAATTCAGAGTTCTAGCTCACTGTCTTACCTAGAACTTCTCATTAATAGGGTGACAAATGCTAAGAGGTATTGTTAGCAGTTCTTGAGAGAAAACTTGTTCAAGCCTCAGAATATTGGCATATCCAAAGAAAGAATTCTGTATTTTTGAGTGTTCCCTGTTCAACAATGCAGAAAATTCACAGTGAATCTGCTGTCTTCTGTCTTCCTTGATGTTGTCCACATCAGTACTGTCAGGTGTTCCTTTTGTGAAATCTTGGCATATTGTATCATAAAGATCCAGTTGGATCATTTTATGTACTGAGGCAAACACTGCCCAAGTTCTGACACTGTTTAGGAAGT